CCTAACTCAGAAAATGTTCGAAAAATTTGAAAATTTCAAAAACGTATGTTGCAAAAATGTTTAATTCGAAAACGTAGGTTTCGAAAATTGTAATTCTGAAAATATTAGTTCTTGAAATATTGTTAATTACATTTTTAAGCTTTCTTCTGGTTTTGTGTGAAGCTCTTGATGTCAATAAAACTAAGAAATGAAATAAGTAGACTTTTGTAAAATTAAGTTTTAATGCTTCAATGAAATCTGAAAATGAAGAATTTGTTGTTAACTTTTTGCCAGTAATTTTCACTTTTTATGGCAAACGTGTAATTTTTGAAATATAAGAACATGTTATTATTAATATATTTAAAAAAAGTTGAAAATTTGTAATTAACATGTAACCTGAATTTAGGTCAAAGTTCGCAATTTATTAAAACAATGAAAGATTACAGTAGAGGATTTCTGTATAGGCGGTAAATATGGGCAAGTGATAAAACTACGCAAAAACTGATCTCTATATTTTATTCGAATTCGAAAACATATTGTTTGACATTTTTATGAATTATGTTTCATAATTACTTTATTGGTATACTACAAGCTACTATAAACCCGTGTTTAATAGAAAAGTGCTTCTGTTAGAATGATTGTCCACTGTACTCGGTCATTCATTTTTAAAATTCGGAACACACATGCAGTCGTATACCAGATCAAATTATAGCTATATGGTATTTAATCTAATAAGTTTTTAACAGAATTTGTAACAATACATTTGTATCTAAAAATACATTCAAAAAGTATAGGTTTAATAAGAAAATTAGATAAATGTAACAAACACAGTTGTAAAAATTCTATATAAGCCGTAATTTTTTCTTTCAGAGTTGTAAAAAAACAGCATTAAGTCTGGTTAGAATCAAGTGTTGTGTACAATATGAAATATAAAAATTGTCAACACTTAAAATTAATTAATTTTAATAAAAGAAAACAAAATGAATAATAAAAGAGAAATGATAAGCATTTTTGTCTTATATATTTAAATAAATTTATTTATTTATGTGTCTGAATTTATAAGTAAATGAAATACTCATATGTTTTTAAGGGATGACTGGAATTTTGCAACATATTTCTTGTCAACACTTACAGTTGACTGATTTTTGAATTCGGCTGCACTGAAACTTAAGTCTTTAAAATTTTTTGCAAATGAAATACTCATATGTTTTTAAGGGATGACTGGAATTTTGCAACATATTTCTTGTCAACACTTACAGTTGACTGATTTTTGAATTCGGCTGCACTGAAACTTAAGTCTTTAAAATTTTTTGCTAGTAAAACCGAACTCTGAAGATTTTAAGAGCATTGTTGTTGCTTCACATGGTTTCTTTCGTAAGTTGCGAGTATTTTTTTGCAACTCTGAAAGAAAAAATTACGGCTATTGTTAAAATAATGTAAGATAAAACTTAACAGAAGACAAATTGAAAATTCTGAAGTTATGCAGATGACGAACTCCAGCAAAACTCCAGACAAAGTGAACTTTTCACTTATATATGTCCTTAGCTCTCTCATAATGTTTAAGGTGTCGAACTAATACGTTCTAGGTTTATTAGTAAGTTAAATTAACCACCACAGTAAACTCACCTCATCTCAATATATAAGAAAATATCAGAAAATTTCAGAATTCAGAAATGTTTGTCTTTAAAAAATATAAGAAGCAATTGATACTAACCCATCAAAATTCATAACATAAAAATTAATCTTCAATAAAAGAAAATATTTGTTCAAAAATGTAGCAAAAAACGGCGCATATTTTTGATATTACCCAATACATTTAAATAAATAATAGCTGAAAAACCAGATAACAGTATCAAAGAATAAAAAGTACGAAAAATTGCCAGCTAATAGCACTAAAAATGTATATAAAAAACTAAACGATGAAATGTAGGAATAATTTTTCATAAAAATAGTGCTTTTACAAACAGCATAGTATTAAAATTTAACAATTAAAAATAAAAATATGATTAATAAATTAATTCAATTATTATACAGCTGATTTGTGATTTCGTTCTAATATAAACACAGCAAGTCAATTTCTTAATAAAACTTTCACAGCCAATTAATAAAACTCCAGAAAAATGTGCGAACATAAAAGTCAATTAGCGATTTGGGTCAGTAGGTTAAGGTGCACTGACTTTAAATTTCAAATTTGGCAGGGCACGAGTTCAATTCCTGGTACTTGCAGTCTCAAAAAATTATTTACAAATAATTAAATACAGGAATTATTTTCAAACCACTGATGATGGGTATTTGCCAATACTCGAAACAGTTGTATGGTCAGCCTAAAATTCAATTAATTAAAATAATATAAAATGAATTTTTGTTGTTGTAATTCACTACTGTGCGAAAAATCTCTTCATAATAATTTTCTGTTTCAATGATTTCGCACCTGCTTTTCACTGTAAAATTGTGAGAAAGAACATCTACATAGTCGTATACATAATAGTGTGAAGTGTTGTGGTCTACATTATCTAACATGTTTTTACATTAGTTTGTTTTGACTTGATAATTTTTTTTCTTTAAAACTTTATCACTCAAATTATAAGTTCGGCCCAACCAAAATAAAAAAATAAAAGAAAAAAAGTGAAATTTTCTTCACAGCTGAAGTCCAATTGCTTTTAAGTTGCAATTACTCATGTTTACACTATACTTTGAAGGCGATTTTTTTGCTTTTCCACTTAAATGGCCTTTTCTGCACTCAATAATGATTTAATTGCCTACAAACGGTCGTTTGTACACTTTGTGTAATTCAAGATAAACCCAAAAAAGATTCACAAAAGACATAGCGGCTTCGTGCCAACGCATAGCAAATTATGGACGCATCGCCCGGGAGCACCGTTGAATAAAGAGTGCTGTGCGCTGAGCAAACAAATTATTTTCAATCCGGCAACGACACGCAAAATACGCAACATGCGTGCCTATGATTTCGATTACCGACCGCGATAGATGCCGTCTCGACAATGTAAACCTTAATTAACTCCAATGAAATTGTACTGAAATTCAGGCGAATTTTTTTTTTGTTTCTTCTGTACAAATTGAAAGTGGAAATATCGAATACAAGTTTTATTAAAATTTTACTTCATCTCTTTTTATGAAATTTCATGGAGAAAACACAATTCGGTTTAATTGGGAACAAAATTTATTCAATGTTTAAGATATTTAATATATTTTGTAGCTTTTGATATTGTAGAGATGGACACTGGATTGAGTTATGTTCGAAAAATTCATAACTACACACAAATCTTAAATGATTTGTGATGGATCTTTCAGCATTGTGAATATAATACACGATGGTATTATAAACCTTAATAAATCCTAACATGGTTCCTTGAAAAAACTTCGTTAATTCGTAAAATTTCCATTTTGGTCCCCTCCGTAATTCGTATTTTATTTGAAATTCAGTGAACAAATTCGTGGTGCTTCAAGAACATTCAAGGCTTACCAATGCTCTACCGACACCACAAGAAGACGTGGATCTATTTAACGAATGGCGCCTTTCGATTTTCGAACTGGTAACTTTCGATTTTCGAACTAAAAATCGAAAGATACTGTTATTGATGGACAATATTGTACAGCGCATAATGGATCCCCTAATCTCAGACACGTAAAAATAAATTTTTTGCCAGTAAACACCACTTCCAAGCTCCAGCCCTTGACCAGAGTGTTATAAAAAATTTTAAGATATTTTAAGACATTTCTATTTTAAGAAATGGTTATTAATCCGGCTAATAGCTTTGATGAAAAAAAAAGAGTTCAAGGTAAGCTATTTACTGCATTCCAAATTGCTTCCGGGCTTGCGGTTTTAAACGAAAATTTATGTCCAGTCGAACAATTCAACATAGATTACCTATGAGACCGTATACATTATTATTGCAGCTATTAATAATGAGAGCGTTGAGGATAATAGCGTCGGTGAGGAACAACTTATAAAGAATAAACAAGTCAAAATTGGCCATTGAACCAGTACGATATTAGGTATGTTTCAAATCATGATGTCCAAAAAAATGTTTTCGATTGTTTATTATATTTAGAAAAATCTATTAAAGAAATTGGCGAAAAGAATCTGAACTTTATCATAAAAAAACTTGATCATTCTCTATATAATTTTTCACGTTTTTGTTTTCTTATTAAATTAATAGTACGTAGGATGTAAATACATGTGTAAATTAGATTATTTAGTTCTAAAAAAATTATAAATACAAAATATGTGAAATTAAACTGAAACGTAAAAGCTCCGTTAATTCGTATATTCTTTTTTTTTAACCCAGATAATTCGAAAACCCATCTAAATTGTAAAAAATGCTATTGCTTTTCGATTCCGAATTATCGGGATTCGACAGTACATTCGTTGCAGTTTTTTGCTTACAATTTGTTTATAATTTTTTTTGAAATTTGTTTTGATTATCAGTTTAATCTTGTTTCAATTTTATTTAATACTAACATCCATAACTGCCACAGTGAAAAGTTTTGGGGCGGAATTTACTAAGCCAACGAACTAAATAGATACTTATCCCGCACATCTTTGCATGGATTTGTTATGGATTCTGTATGCCAAATGTGACTAAACTCTACGCACCTATCGAGATAAACACAAAAATAAGTCGAGTATGGTAGTAATTAGTCTAAACATAGTATTAGTCCTTATAAATATATTTTACTTTCATGTTAAACGTAGTTTTCGGTGATATATTCATGTTTACGAGGCAAACTTTTGAAGTGTTGAACTTTGCTCACTATATTTCTCTTATCTTGGTCCGATATAGTCCTCTTCGTAATTCATATCACTAAATATAATCCAACTCTAAGTGATTTTTAATTTTCTACTTTTCGAATTACGTTATTTAATCTATGGCGTCTATATGGTAGACTTTTGAAAACTGTCAGTTATTAAGAAAATTTTACAAAAATTATTGAAAATTTAAAACAAAGAAAGCGAAATCAATTTAATTAAATAAATTCTTGTAAAATGTCAATTATTTTGAAAAATTATTTTGAAAATTAATTTTTGCTGGGAAAAATACTTGCACAAAGCAGATTTACCGACAGATAAACTGGAGAGGTCAGACTGATGAGTTTACATGCAAATGCGGGTAAGTGACTTCTTAGAAAAATTATTTTCTCGTTAATACTTAGTATTATTAATTGTTGTTTTTATTGGTATTGTTGTTGTTGTTGAGATTATTTTAATTTACTTAATTGAGTTGATTTTGCAAAAGAAAGCGGAAGAGCTCAGAAGATCTGTGTGTGGGCAGACAGCACATGTTCGTACGGAATTGCAATTAAACAAAACAATTCCTGAAATCTTGTATATGAAAATCATCGGGTCCATACAGCGGTGTGAATGTCCGCTAAATAAGCAGCGGCATTACGTGGCAACAGAAATATCAGAAACAGCAACAACAATTGTGGCAACAATCGCAATCAACACGCAACGTCTAAATGCTAAACGTTAAGCTCTCCGGAACAATGGTCAAAAGTGGAAATTAATGAAGCCGCTTGAGATTTCAACGAGCAGTGAACGCTCTTTAATTGGTTGCAAAGCGCCAAAATTGCTTGCAATTTTTTTGCTTCTTGTTTTTGTTATGTGTTACACAGCTGAGAGAATTGCAGTTTAGATAACAAATAACTACGAGGGTTGCCATAAAATTTCACAAATTGACATTTAGTCTCTAATTCAATATCAAATATCAAATTGAACTCTCTTAGTAGTAAATATTGTTTATAAAGTCCTTGCCAATTTATACCCAAGCCTGAAGTAGATTGCTAGGTAATAAAATATATATCACTCGCCCAATCATCCAACAACAGTAGGTGGGATAGCATTCCACATACAGAAAAAACATACTGACGAATCGTTAATTATCAAATTTTCTCAAATAATGATACCACATCAAACAATACAATACTTAAATATTTTCATAGGTCTGTTATAGACTTGTGGAATTTTAAGTAACGACAACATCACACACAATATTGCCTTCAGATTTTAGAAAGGTGAACACTAAATACTGCGATAATAACAACAACTACATTTTCAAACAAATGCTAAAGTGAAATCCTTTCATTAATTGTTTTATTTATATGACGTTCAGACCTTCAATTTGAGTGCTGACACTCTCATAAACGCATAACCATATCTATAAATCCATGTCTTCAGTACATCGCCTTTAGCAATGCCCGGGAAACAGTGATATTTAGTCAAGAAATAAAATTTCTTGATTTACTTTAGAACTGTCCTGCACAAGATTGCGCGGTTAACGAATATAAGATGTTGGTACCCCTTGTTACAGCATCAGTATATCCAATTTATGTAACAATATATCATATATATCCTATTAATATCCTTCAAAAATAATTTGAATAAGTGTAAGTTTCCTTCTACTCCTCTTAAATCAACTCAAAACATTTCTGAAATAATGGTCAGTTGTGTAATTGCCTCATTTACCTCATTTCAATGCACTTAATATGAGTAAAAATATTAAAATTGTTGGTTATTGTCTAGTAAGCAGAATTATGATATGCAACGTCTAAACAGCAATACTTATTGTCAAGCACTAAAAAATTACACAAGCAACTTTTGTTCAAATTTATTGAGTGTTATTTTTACACTCAATAACAGGAGGATAAGTTGCAAACATCAATTTCTTTTTAATAATGCAAAATATTTTTTTTTTGTTTTTTAATGCGGACCTAAAAGCATCGAAAGCTTAAGTAAGTGTGAAACTTCAATCCACTAAAAACATGTCCTCATGTCCGAACGGAAAGTCCCTCCTGGAACTACCGTAAAGTACTACGTTAGAAGAATAATGCAAGAAATGAATATGAATATACGATTTCGTGTGCACAGTTGATCTAAACTGACAGAACAGCCCTCGTATATACAGTCTTTTATTTAAATGAACATATGTATGTTTATCGTTATATTGTACTACATGCAAATATTTGCTATGCCATTTTCACATGCACTTGCTGAGAAGTAACTCACAAAACCGGAAACACTAACTGCCTATATAACACCATCCATAATAATGCATTGGCGGGGGGGAAGTGTGCAATAAAATCATATTAATACATATAAAAAAAATTATTTTTAAAGATTAAAAATATATTGCATTGCGAATATTTAAGAAAATAAAATAAATTATCGTGAAATTCGTGCATGAAAAATATAAGCAGATACATATGTGTATATATATATATATGAGTATATATATTTATATTAATAATTATTAATAATTAAAAACAAAATAAAATAATAATGAAAAAATCACATTATAAATGAAAACCGTTTAAAAGAATTATTAGACTGCACCATAAAAAAGACAAACGCTTGCTCGCTTTTACGTCCGCTCATCGCTCATGCCAGTATCGCTCATGCCAGTCAGCCAAGCGTACGTACCTAGGTATGTACATCCATACGTACATTATTTGTCGATATAGCCTACACGCGAAACTCACACCCAAACAAACACACAAACAACTTCAGCAGCTGAACATTGACCGTCATGCTTGACGCAATAATTTCGCGCCCAAATGGAATCAGCTGTGCGCGGCGCAAACACAATATTAACTTAAATCATTACAACAATAACATCAACAAAAAAAAAACAAAAAACACCAAAGCAATCAAGAGATGTTTAGAAATGTATGAGAAAATAAAAAATGAAAAGAAAAAGCCTTAATAAAAAACTATGGCAAATCTAATAAAATAGCTCGGTTAGTAAAATACAGTAATCCCCCCTATAACGCGGTATATTGGTTCCGCGTTATAGGAAAACGGGTTATAGGGGTATTCCCGTATACCCCGTATACACACGTGCAAAGGTACGCGAAGGTCCGCAAAGGTACGCGAAGCTAATAATGAACTGTACAAATCCCCGCGTTATATGGGGGAATGCCCGTGCTGTACTTGGTATTGAAATCGCGTAATATGAAAACACGTTATAAGGGTACCGCGTTATAGGGGGGACTACTGTACAAGACTTTAAATCCAAGCAACAGTGTGTGCAAAAGTGCGCGAGTCAGAGAGGCACGCGAACATTCGTTTAGACGGACACATGGTCCGCTAATCTGAATTTTGCTTTGATTCATTTATGAAAATTTATTTTTAATTTTGATATTTCCAAATGGTTTTGCGTGGTCTGACCAAAGTTTTTAAAAGGTGGTGTCGGTAAAGTACAATCGCGGTAGTGATTCTAAACAATCACAGATTTTCAACATATGCTACACAACCGGGAATATCAGCACAACGTATACACTGTGTGTACACAAACACATATTATTATTATTTAAAAAGAGGTAGTGCACTGCGACCTAAAAGACCTATTGCTCCACCTTAGTCGGATTAGAGTTTTTCTCCAAGTCTGATTTCTTTAATGAAAGACAGCATAGAGTCTATTTTTTCTATTCTTGAATCCTGGAACATGAAATTTCCTTAAAGGTGTTTCTTCCGCTTGTGCATCAGTACATAATATGCGGTTGCTTTCTCCTCTCTGCAGTATCCCACTCAATCTGTGTGGAATTGGATGCCTAACTTTGTTAGGGGGTTATTCAATCTACAGTGATCGGTCATTAATAGGTTATTTTTTATTGTTCAATCCTTGGAAAATTTTAGGTTGTAAGTCCCTAAAAGCATTTCAGTTTGTGATAGTCTTGGTAGCCTTTCCCAATAGAGTTCTCTTTCTTTTTCCTCAGAATAGATAGAATTCTTTTGCCAAGACCACAGAAAGATTCTGGACCTATCATTATTGAAGCCGCTCCTCTTTTTGCAAGTTTGTTTGCCATACAATTACCTATACAAAAGTAAATAAGAAAATACAGCATTTCTACACTGCTAACAAATTTCATGGATTCTATCATATTTTCCTATGCAGTCAAAGGATATTCAACAAACCCTAGAAAAGCGAAAGTAGACAATGCATACACTGGATACTAGCATTGGTTTCACAGGTTCCCGTTAAAAAACTGAATTATAAAATGCTGATTGTGCCGTTAAAAGTACTTCCAGATTGCAAGACTCCGGAAATTGACAAATTGTAGACATAATCAATTTCTATTAAAATCAAAAAGAGAGAATGAAGCTAAAGTTTTTAGTCTTTAATGAACCAACGTAAGTGGGAAGTCAAAATCTGTCTCAGGTAGCCCTGAAGTTGCCATTTTCATGAAAGTCTCAAAGAGAGAGAGAGAGAGAGAAGTATATGAGCGACAGAACTTGCAAGTACGGTTGTCTATTGAACATTTTTTTTGTGTACCAAAATTGTTTTAAAAAGGTTAGATTTCTATAAAAAAAGATCGAATTTTTTTTATTGGCTTTTAATAAGAAAATACAATATATATAAAATGTACAGAAGATATAGAACAGTAGATGTCTTTGTATCCATAACAATTTTATTATTTAAGTAATCGGACTATCTTTTCCTGACCACAATTAGTGTAAACTTTTTATTAAAAAGTTTTTTACATAACATAATATTATATAAGGTCTTCAAATCCATTCCGATGAAAATTTCTTTTTACATTTTGCAGCCCCAATATTTTTACTTAATTAATATATAAATTATATTAGTTTCATAGTGCATAGTTGGATGTATAAATCAATGTAATTCGATACTATAATAATATATACAATAAAGTTTGCGCTAAAAAAAGTACCACTTTCTAAAAAAGAGAACCAATTATGGTACTAAACTACCACATGTGGCAACCGCGCTTACAAGTAAGGCAGTCATAGTGTTTTCTTCATTCCTCTGGTATAGAAACTAAAATTTTTATCCTTTAGCAAAGCGTGAGATGAAATCGATCACAGGTAGCTCTGAAGTTACTAACTATACCAACATTTTAAAGTTAGGGAAAGATATAAGTGCGGATATCTACCCGAAGAACTTGCAGGTAAGGCAGTTGTATTGTGTTACTGATTCCTCCAGTGCTTAAAGAAAAATATTCACTTTATATTGAACCAAAAAAAGAGCGGAAAAGAAATCTATGATAGGTTGTTTTAAAGTTAGCATCTGCATAAATGTCAAAAATATAGAGAAGCACAGGATTATAAGTAAGGCAATGATACTCTTTTCTTGATCCCTCCAAAATTTTT